GGGGGGGGGGGGGGGGGGTAGAACACATCCAGGCGCCATTTAGTTTCCCTGAACGATTTGTGAGTACTCGCCTGGATGTCCATGCCCCACCGGACGTAGAGCATGCCCAAGTTAGCCCATGCGCTGGGGTTGTGCTCCAGCTGCACCGACCGCACCCAGCAGTGTTGCTGCACAAGGGGCTTCTGGGACATGGTGGCGCCCAGACCATTCCAAGCTTCGGAGTAGGCGGGATCGGCCTCCACTGACCTCCTGAAGGCTTCCTCTGCCGACCTGATTCGAACATGGTGATCGTACAAAGAGTGTGAGGTTGTGAATATCATCACTCATAACAAACAGGGGCCTCGAAGCACAATGTCTCTTCGTCAACAAGAATCTGGGAGCACCATTTGCCGACGCCTCCTAGTCTTGGACGATGAAGGTTGAGGTCGGCCTTCCTGCCTGTGTGCGCAAGCAACCACGAGTGAGTGACTATCGGATCGGCAAGGACACTGGGGTTACTCTCCACGTAGACACCCACGCCTGCACTTCTTGTAACGGGTACGCATAAGAAACAGCACGGCGACAGAGCTAAAGGAGTGTTGCGTGCGGATACGATCGTGTTCGCCATTCAGCAAGTTGTCTGCTTCACTTCCATGCCGCAAGCGACACGGCCTATCGACCTCATCTTCCCTTCACCTCGTGAGCTCGGCCACCTCAGGGAGACCTTCGTATAACTCCTGTGCTATTAGACCCGACCCCTCCCCAGCATCGGAACAGATGAGCCTGCCCCTCAGCAGGTAGTTGAGCCCAAGGTCGTAATATGCGGCAGCCTTCGTGGGCACTAGCGCCCCTTGGCCTGCAGTCGCACTGGTTTCACCGCTTTGCCTGGCCGTACACATCGTGGTGGATGAAAAAAAAGTAAAAATACCGGGTTGACGCCAGCTTACAGCCACCCAGGATCAATGCTAACACCACAGATAATCGATCGAAAGAAAACAGCAATACTGTACTGTACTATTACGGGCAACAGAAGCAAGCCTCGCCGACACCGCAGACACCAACCTCACCTTCTTACAAACAAACAAAACAACGCCTTCATCATCAGCAAGCTACCAAGAGTATCGCAGTAGAAGTCCTGCTAGCAGTTCAATGAGTATTTACTGAAGCTTGAAAAAAGCACTGTTTGCGAAATGTTTACCAATGAAAAAAGAACAAGATGCGAACCAGTAACGGTCAAGGGTCATGTGTCCAACCTCGCACCCATCAACGTCGCCGTCGGCCTGGTCCTTCTCCCTCGCCTCTAGGAGTTGCACAAGGTTTCGGTAGGCATCCGCCCCTTGTGCCACGAAGTCCAGCCTGTTACGAGCGCCTTCTTTGGCCAAGGCCTGCCATTGTTAATATCGTGTTCGGATCAGGGCGCGTTACAAGCATGCCACACAGGTTGCACTCAACGTGCGAACGCAACGTCGTGCATGGAACGTGTGCCGTGTTTTCTCTACCTACAACGCATCACACACACCATTATATTGGTATCACATTCATCACATGCCTCGTTTGACGGCATGTGTAGCAAGCACCATAGATTCAATCGTGTCGCATCGCGTACGTCTAAGCACACCAGCAAGGCAGTACATCGTCGTCGGTTTAATGGCAAAGTGCAAGTGCAATGCAGAACAGGTCGCCTCCGCTCCCTATTCACAACTTTGTACGAGACATCTGTGACACTGGCTTGGGCAAACAACAATACAACCGAGAGCACACGTGGTCATGCGGAACGTGTGGTGTGACGCCAGCCTACTGAAGCGGTGGTCGCAATTACAATGTAGGAACAGTCGTTTGGATCTAAGGGATCGGCTCCACCGGGCTATCAGCGGAAACACACAAGATTATTGATCCTCGTTCATTCCTCGATCACACTCACCGCCTGCTCGACTGCCGCCCTCGACGTCCCCAGGACCAAAACGCTTCCCCCTTCCGCGGAGCCTCCCCGCCGCTCTCGCGACCCCTCGTTCTCGAAGCACATTGGCGGAAGCTTGTGCGCATAGGTTTGGAGGTCCCCAAGAAGCTTCCACGCGCACTCCATGCTCAAGGCGGTGGCGGCGGCGGCACTCCTTCCCCCGCTCGGTGCAGCACCGGCACCTTCGCCGCTCCTGGCGTTACCCGTCGTCGCTGCCGTAGCAGTAGCAGTAGCAGTAGCAGTAGTTGGGATGCGTGACATCTAAGTTATGCGTGTGTGTACTGGGCTGAAAACGAGAAACAGATTCTGGTGGTGATGGTAATGGCCGACTGGCTTTGTTTTTCCTCACGAAAACGCTTTAGTGGAGAGCTTCGCCACACAAGCAATGAAGCTTTGACAAAAGGCGCGAGGGGTCGCGTGCAACCTAAGGTTAAGATTTTTGGACGGCACGCCACGTGCATCACTCGACAATCCTTCAGTCCAAAGGGCTCGTACCAACATACCCCCATACCATTCAGAGGCAACAAGGGTTTAGAACATGCCTACTATATCCCAAGAACATATTAGGAATAGGTTGTACTTTTGCCAGTCTAAATCCTATATATTATGTTCTTACCCTTGGCCAGGTCCAGGAATCTCTTTGTCGCGTCGCGGCCGTTTCGAAGAGCCTTCGCCGCGGCGGTGTAGAGACCCTCGCTTGTCCGCGCGTGGGCCTGTGCGAGGTACGCTTCCCCGGAGCCTTCAAGGGCAAGGATGGACTCAGGGTCGAGGGCGAGGGCGTCGTTGAAGCTCGAGACGGCCTCGTCTACCTGGCCTATTTGGCGCTGGATCGTGCCAACCTGTGGTATGAGTTGCCGTTGGCGAGACGGTGTTCGGTTCATGGAATGCTGGTATGGTGTCTAGAAAAGCGGTACGGTAGTTCTGTTGGAAGGCACGAACTTATCAAAGGGTAAGTCAACTCTACACAGCTGTCGACTGCTTCCAATACGCCGTCCAATCAAACATGGTATAACAACAACGTGTTTTACTTATCGCCAAGGGAACGCGATGAAGCTTTTGACAATGTACTTCCATCCCGACTTTGCCAACAAAAACAACAAAAACAACAAAAACAAAGCAGTTCGACAAGGCACAGCTGGTGCACGGTTGTTGCAAGATCACAAACATAATTTCATCCACCTGTGTTCTAACCCTGACCCTCGCGGCCGCCTCAACCGAACTCGGAGGGTCTTGTTGGTCGGCAAGGAGGTCTTCTGCTCTGGTGTAGGCCTTGAGAGCGGCCGCCTGTTTCCCCTCCGCGTGGTAGCACCACCCCAGGTCTGACCAATACGACCAGGAAGTTGGACAGCCTCGAATGGCCTTTGGAAATCAAGGAAAAAGGATGTGTGCAAGAACAAGATCTTTTTTTGGGGGGGTCATTCTTGAAGAAAAAGAAATGAAGGAGGTGGAACGGAAACCACCAAACTTTGTTGCACAGCCGCAACGGAAGCAGCAGCAGCAGCAGCAACACCAACAACACCACAAGAAGAAGCAGCACCAGCATGAACAACACCAGCAGCGGCAACGGTAAGCAGGGCGACGGCGAACAACGACCACCCAACGTATGTGAAACAAGTTCGACAGGTCGCGCGAAGCTCACCTGTTGTATGTGCGAAGCAGCCTCGGCTAGCTTCCCCTCGAGGATCTTCGTACGACCCAGCCCCGCCCATGCCCAGTGGCACGCCACGGACACAGCCGCGCACTGCCGGAACAGAGCCACAGCTAACGTCTCCTGTCAACGTTCGGCGATGAATGTTTTTGGTTGGGGGGGGGAGGTGGGTAGAGCATTATAACCAAGTGGTCGATGTCCACGAAGATGTCTCACGGGATATTCTGTACTCCGTATTTCCATGGGTAGCTAGTTGGCATGGGAGTTCGGGAGGCGCAACACGCTGCGCGAGTGTTGGCAAGGGTGTACCGGCGTACGAACGCACAGCCCGACGCCCAACACTACCTTTGCCCAGAGAACGCTTGGCACCGCCTGCTGTGCTATTCTTTTACTAATAGCAGGATGAGTGAACTGAACTGAACTGGATGAACTGAACACGCTTGGCACAACCTTCGACTTGTCACGCCCAGCGTTTGACACAACAGCAGTGCAAGAGCAGGACCCCCCCCCTCTCCCAACGCATTATGGTGGTCGATTAGATCATGTTGTGCGGGGTCGAGAACCCTCACTCCGCGCAAGGGGGATGATCGCACCACGTTGTGTTAAAATGGTCAAGCACCCTCGAGGCAGTTACACAGTGATTACAACTGTCAGGAAGTGAAAGCACCAGAAAATAAATTAAGTCATACGCAGCTGTCATCCGTACGCAAGGAAGTAAGCACAAGACGCCGAAAACCCTTAGCAGGATGCAGCGCACCCGTCATTCGACTCGCCGAATATCTCACGGTGCTTTGCGCTTGGTGATGTGAGAGCCTGGTCCGGTGAGAACCCGGCGTGCTCCGTCCCGGCTTCGTAGGGATGCGAGGTCAATGGTCGAACGACTACGGCATGCACGACTATGAGTCCCCCCGCCCCCCCCCCCGTCCCAACGCGCATGATTCAGGGATCCCAAGTGTGGCCAAGCAGGAGTCGGGGGCACACGTCGGACCGGGATGCGAACACCCACTGGCCGTACCTGAAGCACTCCCCGCTGAATCACACACAGAGAAACAAACTTACTTCCGAAATAAGTTTATCGACCGACCATCACAAAAAGCAATTAGCCAGGTCCCAACAAACCTGTCCAGTGTGGAGGTACAGCGAAGCTAAAGCTTCCCCCGCCCCCGGCAAGGCAGGGTCGAGCTTCACCGAACGCAGGAAGCAGCCGCGTGCACGCTCTCGATCCCCACCGACGCCTTGATACCAGTACCCCAGCCATTCGAACGCCTTCAACGGTAGGTTACGGTATGCAAGGGGCGTGGGAACAACAAGCTTTTTTTTAAGATAGGTGGGAATACTGTAGGTAGGCCGAGTACTTGCCAAGGATGGCTTGTGTGCGAAGTGGCATGGTTGTCGCCAAAATCATGTTCTGTGGAGGCACCTTGTCGCAGCAGACGCCTTCATGAAGCCTGTTAGTATGCCCCCGTGCCCACCCACGGTAGCATAGTGAGTGATGTCTGGGGACTACGTTAACCCAGCGACCGATGCGGATGAAAATATAACCTTGATTAACAGACACAGGTGCTCTTCCAGCACGGACCGAAGTCAGTACAGGTCCTGTTTCAGTGAACACATGCGCGGGGTCTCGCGAGGGGGCCCGCGCTTAGACTCCCAATAGTGTATCCCCCCACACACATTTTCTGCAGATCGGATCTTGCATCCAAGTACCCCAAACAGCCCCCCTGCTTGATACAAGATACGATCTTGAAATCCTGTCGAGGTCTGAACAAAGAAAATCATCCAACCAATATGAAGACACAAAAAAACACTCGAGAAACACCCTCTACAAATAACTGGCTTCGCATTTAGCACAATGCGTCTCCATCAGTGCATCCATGACCCCGATGTATTCTCAAATCATAAAAAAAAGAACCATCCTCAGAAGATTACAGTGGGGGCTACGGTTTAAGAGAGGGGTGTGCATGACCAACAAGACCTCTCTTAAACACCACCTTCTCTTAATCGAATTTAAGAGAGGTTTTAGGGATTTCGGTTGAAGAGAAAACGTATCTTAAAGCGATTGTATGGCTATACTAACAGGGTCTAGCCTGATCGAAGTGATGGGAGGTATGTATTATTTGTGTTACACAAAATTTTCCTTCGCTATAGGCCCTTACCCAGCGCGATTCCTCCTTATTGCTGTGTACGAAGCACAACAACACAGCAGCAGCAGCAAACATGCAGCAGAGTAGCAAGTAGTAGGTGTAATTCCATGGTCTCCAAGGTGTACAACAGTGTATTCTGGCATGGATGGGTGGTTTGTAAACATTAAGGGGGGGGGGTACTCTAATGTTTTGCACGCCTTAGCGGTTAGACCATTGACCACGCGTCCTCGAGAGGACGGGGCATTGTTCCCACAGGACCGATCACCGATGGCCAATCGTTTTCCTTCCTACTTTGCCACAGACGTGGCTCAAAAATACATGTCGACCTATCCTATCGATATCACTTCCCGCCTTTTCAACCCACTTCCTATGCGTATGCCCCGTACAGCCCCGCCTACTCCCGCTTACTCCATGCCTCAAACATCTCCCTGTAACCCCTTCTACGTTCCCCCCTACAGCTCAGTTATGTACACCTACCTCCCTCTCCTTGTACAACGGACATTCGTTCCGCGAGCACTGACCCTAACCCGGTCTTTGCAGTCGGAGCCGCAATCACATTTGAACTTATAGCTGTCGTCTTCATCGTCTACCTTCTTCCTAAATCTTCGTCTACGTTCTCGAAGGCCTGTCCATGTCCCCGGTCCTGAATTTGACCTTTTGGTACTCGAACCCTTCCCTTCTTTCAACACTACGTACACATCTAGGCCCTCATTATCCTTTGTTTCTTTGGTTAAGCTTGCTCTCCTCTCTCGGCAAGCGCAACAGTATGTGTGCGTGCGTGTGGTCCGGCGCATGGGAGCTGTTTGTCTAGCTAGCAATGATCTAGTAGGCGAGGGGGTCCAACACGCATTTTGAAGTCGGTCAACGTTTTCCTGAGAGTCTCCCTCCCAGCTTCGTCAGACGGCAGGCAGCAGCGAATCGCCTCTTCCCAGGTGCCTTAAATCGACCCACTCGTCAGTAGCTTGCTCATGAACGGGGCATCTTTCATGGACTCCATCAGGATGTTGAGAGCGCACTCATTTTGATCCACCAGGTCACCACCATGCACAGTAACTAGCTCCTTCCTGGATGGACCGTGTAGCAGCTTCACAGGATACGAGGACTCGTGTAGGGTGTGTGCTAGACCCTCGCTCGACACGAAATTTTCGAACAGCTGCCGGTATACGGCCAAGTTCCCGTCGTAGACGGGCGGTTTTCTCTTTTTCTTCCATTGGGCAGTCCTTTTATCAAGCCCACCGCCGAGCCCACCCCCGGCATATCCACCTCTTCCAGCTGCCCACCCAGCTTGACCCCCTGCTGCCCTCCCAGCACGCTCTAACGCAGCGATCTTGTCCATCGCTGGTTCGACTGTCCTCGATTCTTCCTCCCTTTTCTTTACTGCCGCCCTGTCCGCGGCTGCTTCCTTCTCCGCAGCTGCTGCCTTCTCTGCAGCATCTTGACGATCCGGCATCGGTCGGACTTTATTCGAATAAGCCTGTTATTATGCCCCCGTGACCACCCACGGAGGTTGCCGTGCCCACCCACGGTAGCATAGTATTGTGATGTCTGGGGACTATGTTAACCCAGCAAGGACCGATGCAGATTATATATAACCTTGACTAACACACACACGTGCTCGTCCAGCACGGACCGAAGCCAGTACAGTTGCTGTTTCAGTGAACACATGCGCGGGCTCTCACGAGGGCCCCCCCACTTAGATTCGAAACAGTGTAACCCCCCACACACATTTTCTGCAGATTGGATCTTTCATCCAAGTACCCCAAACAAAGCCACAGGTATACACAGGTATACCAGCCACACTTCCAACGTAGAAACATAGAGCCAACTCTGTTTACGCCGTGCACTCAACTTGCCATGGCGCGCCTGATGACTTATCGGGAAAACGAATCTGACCGATGCATGTTCACAGAAACCGTTGAGGGTACACAACACCACAATACAATTCCCGACGTACCTCGGCATTGGCAGGGTCAAGCTTAGCGGCCTTGAGAAGAGAGTTGAAGCAGTACTTCCGATCCTCTCGGTACAGCCCACCAACCTCCCAATAGCACCTGGTTTAAGCAAAAACAACAAAACACGATTACTTTTTAACTTCACCTCATGGTGTGCATATAAGCAGGCACAACGTGTGAGGACTCGGCTGTCCTCTGCCGTGGGTAAGTGTTGCGTGCATAGTTGTCATGTGCGATCAGCACCCTACGGTTAGGGCTAGGGTCGATGCAAAACGGTAGCGTGTGATGAGTAGCTTAGAACCGCCAATCGTGTGCCATCAGTGTGATTAGCGTACCTTGAGAAAGACGCTCCTCAACCGCACAACCCCCCGCCCACCCAGGATTTTTACAAACTTCCGCAATCAATTCCGAGAGGAGCCAACTAGGATGCCGAAGCCATTTCTAGATACTGTAGCGCCATTCCTGTGTGTTTGGTACCTAGTACGGAAGGCCAAACAACCGTCAATAGTAGATACCATGCAAATGCCACGGGAGTGGTTCCGCCTTCACAAAACAAACAATTCAGAGACAAGATACACAAAATCATTCCTGTGCGATTGGTACATCGTACGGAAGAGGCCAAAGCACCGTGGATAGTAAATACCACGCCAAGCACCACGGGAGTGGTTCCACCTTCACAAAACAAGCAATTCAGAGCCTAGATACAAAAAACCATTCGTGCGCGTTTAGTTCATCGTACGGAACGGTGAAGCACCACGGACAGTAGAAGCTGCCACACCACGCAACACGCTACGGTAGCACTTCCGCCGAAACAAGACCAACAACTCATACGTATCTACAATGTACCTTGCCAGCCGGAATGCATGGGACGAGCACCCTGGTTCCTCCGCTACCGCCCTCTCCAAGAGCGGTCTCGCCGCCTCCACGTCTTCCCGTTCGCACGGCGCCCGCTTCCCTCCCCCGCTAGCGGCACCACCACCGCCGAACCCCAAGAGCAGCCAGCCCAGCCTGCTCAGCGCATCCCCGAACCCCGCCTCCGCCTCCAAGGCCTCCCTAAGCTTTCCCTTGGCTTGCTCTCTCTCGCCGCCGGCCAGGTCAACGTCTGAGGCCACGCATAGCGCTCGGCAGTACAGGCTGGGTGGCCGACAGATGCCATCATCGGCAACGGCAGAAGCCTGCCGAGCGACGTGCACAGCCCCGGCGGACGCCATCTCCACCGCCGCCCGCGCCTCCTCCAGCCGCCCGCCGCCGAGCTTGAGCAGCAGGGAGGCCCTCGCCAACCCCAATCTCCCGAGAACATCGGCGTAGTCGCCCTCGCCGTCAGGCTTGCCCCTTAGCCGGGACGACTCGTCGAAAGCCGCCATCGCAGCGTCCACGCGACCGAGACCCAGCGCCGCCGCCGCGGCAGGGTCCCCCCCCCCATCGCCCAGCCTCTCGTCGACAAGACAGCGCAGGGATAGCTCCCTCCAGTCACTGCCGGGCCCAGACAGCGCCCCCGCCCACGGTGCTCCTGCTTGTTTCGTGGAGCTGCCGCGATGCGGCGGAATACGTGCCGCTACAGCAGATTCCGCGGCGGTCTTGAGGTGGGCGTCCGCCTGGCTGATGTCGCCGGCCCACAGCGCGAGTCCGGCGAGGTGGAGGCAGGCTTCGGACTTAAGCCAGGGTCGGCGGGGCGAGGCAGCGGCAGCACCGTCGGCGTTGTCTCCACCAGCTTCGTCCTGTGCGCCACCCCTGGCGATCCTCCGAAGCTCCAACAGCGCCGCGGTGGTCTCGTTGTCATCCTCGCCGTTACCAGCGGCTCCGCGCTGGTGGTTGGGTAGCGCGTAGGTGGAAGCGAGAAGGGTGGCTGTCGCGGCCCAGCCGTCGTCCCACCCGGAGACTCTCACCGCGCTCTCCACGCGGGCACAGGCCGCCAGCACCTCCCGCCACCTTGTTGACGCTTCCACTGCTGCTGCTGCTGCTGCTTCCGCGCGGTGCACGGCTCTCCCGAGGTAGGCGCGACAGAACCTAGCCACCAGAGGTTTCAACACGACGTTGTCGGGAGTGAGAGCACCGCCAGCGTCACCGCCAACGTCAGAGCCCCCCTCCCGTGTCATGAGACCGCTGCCATCCTCACCCGCTGGCGATTGCCCCGCGTCGAGCAGCGCTTCCATGGCGTCAGACAGGCGTTTCGCGACCCGGCCGCCGCCCTCCGCGCTATCATCATCCTTGGCCAGCGCTTTGGCACGGTAATCGAAGGCCAGGGCAGTGGCACGGCGGCTGCTGCTGCTGCTGCTGCTGCCTGCCGTGGAAGTGCCGCTAGCCGTCGAGCTGATCCCGCCGCCGCCGCCGTTGTCCTTGGCCAGGCGTTTCTCTACTCTCCTTGCGACGGCCGCCTGTTCTTCGTCGGTCTCCAGAACGGCGGCGAGGAGCAGCAGCGAGAGTCGTTCGGTCGCCGCTGTGGGAACGCCGCTGCCATCCCCAGCGGTAGCGGCCATGGCTTGCGGGCTGTCGACATGACGCAGCACCTGTAAATTGACGTGCGTTTTGGCGTGAGCACGACAGATTCGAGCGACGCTGGCACCTATGGTTTCCCACACTGCTATGCATGCAGTTGCTTGGGTACGAGGTATGCTGTTCACACGGGCATGGCAGTACACGTGGCAAAGTACCGAACTTGTGGTTCTGGCGTGGGCCCTGGGATGCCAGCCCATTAATGCTTCACAGCGAAAATACACAACAAAGCGCTCGTCCCACACACACCTCACGTCGACCACGAGACGGATCCCTCCCGCAAAAATACACAAGGAAACTAACAGACACACTCCGTGGCATCAGCTAGCGATTGGTGTGGCGGGAGGAAACGCTAGCCTGTCAGTAAACTAATACAGTACGTGGTAGGCAACAACACAAGAGACACACCGCTTCCAAGGCTTCCTCCTTCCTGCCGAGGTGATCCAACACCGTCCCCAGCCTTAGCCTTAGCCCTCTTGCCCTGGCGAAGTTCCCCTTCCCTTCCGCGATCTCGGCGGCTCGCGAGAGACACTCCGGCAGCGCCGCCACCTTCTCCGCCCCCGACCGCTCCAGGCAGTCTATCAGCCCCTTCCACGCCTTGGGGGTAGGGTTAGGAATGAAGATGTAGGAGGGCTGCAAGTCTGACTAACCAAGGAGTCGCGACGGCGGATGTTCATCGCTCTTCACACTGAGATCAAATGGTCAGTGCTCTACGTCTGACATAAATATTGGGAGTCATGGTCGTTGGGGTTGGTGTGTGCACAAACTACCAAACACCCGCCACAGGCCTGTAGCAGCAGCAGCCACAATGACAATTTTGGTTACACTTCGGGGTACTGAAGGGATTGGGGACTCGGCGTACGGTATATGGAAGGCGGGCACGAGGCTAAAAAAGTCCAGCATTCGAATGAGCATTTACATCGGCAAATATCGTGAGACCAGTTGACCTCCCTCGTACAAGCTCCGGCCAAAAATCTACGGGCGGTAAGCTGCCGAGGTTCAGCCCTAAAATATCGGTGGTATGCATAGACGACGTTTCCAGTGTTCAGAGAAAACAGCACTTGAACTGCCAACACCTCCGTTGCCGTCTGTTTCTTCAGATGCACGCCTTGAAACAACTTTTTCGAAACCGTTCCCCTCCAAGCAAGACTTGCCTTAGCACCTTCCGAGGTGTCACAACAATAGCCATGTGGACAGCTGTGTGTGGTCGTCTCCATCTAGTCTGGCTCTAGACTACTCAAAAACACTTATCTGCGTACAAACAGGCGAACAGCGGTATTCCTTTTCGAAAACTTAAGTCCGTAAAAACCACTACACTCTTTTAACACTCTTTGACATGCACCTGGGGGGCGTCGGGAATGGAGTCGGCCGCACGCCGGAAGCTGGACTCTGCCGCGGTCAAGTCTTGCGACGCGAGTGCCGCGAGCCCTGACGTCACCAGAACCGCGTACAGGGTCTGCGCGTCTTTAAGGTCCGGGTGGGAGCTGTCCAGGATGTTTTGGATCATGGAGAAAGCCTCAGAAGGTTCTCCGGCTTGCATCCTCGCCCGCGCGGCCTTGAGGTCGCCCTTCACGCCCATGGTGCAATGCAATGATGCGTGCCTCCTCGGATCTCTCTTGCTAAAAAGGTGTTCACAAGTGTTGAGAAGAGGAAAGGGTCGTGAGAGCTCGCGGACCTCAGGAGAAAGGGAAACTCGCTTTGGTGGATGAGGCCGTCAGAGCTACGATTTTGAGGACGATGGGAAAGGTCTTTGGGCCAGCCTTGATCGGGCGCAACTTCTGGGTTCTGGTCTATCGTCGCGTGCTGCCGTAGACATGCACCAAAATTCTGAGAGCCACCTCACACCCTTGTCCGGCCGACTTCTGCCAAAGCTCGGTTTTTCAAATGACCACGTGGATGCAGACAAACACATCTACCTTGGTGCCCTCTTCCTTTTGGAGCAATTGAATTTCTGTGAACGAATCGGTCTAAAAAGGAGTTTTGATGACTCCCACCATGCATCATGCCGGATGTGTTCATTCATCATGTGCTTGTGCATCTGTACAGCTCAGCGGTGGCGGCGGGCCGCTGAACTCCATGATGTAGCAGGTTCCTAAGTCCATTTCTGTGGCGATTCCATGCAGGACGCGTGGGTCGCAACGAAGGATAGACTATGTTGCGTAACTGTAGGCATACAACCAACATGAGCGAAGGGTTAGGCAAGTCCCAACCGTTTGTCCCTCCCGCGCACTGCTGAAGCACTTTCGTTATGTATCGATGCTGCCGTGTTTTTCGACCGTGTTCATGCGCTGTGTGAAACATGCCATCCCCTGTGAGAGAGTAAAATTGTGGTCAATACACCAAACTTGCAATGACTACTTCACAGTCAAGGTACATACAACACTCGTTCAGCTTCGTCCGTCTCCTATATGCATACAGCGGTTGACACTCTGCCTACAGCAAGTAGTCGTACGCGCGGCAAAAACAACACAACAACGGTGTGCAATAGAGGCGGTGCAATAGAAAAAAAAAAAAACGTGACCATGTATTGAGTGATGAACAAATGACTCATGTCCTCCACTTACCACACTTAGGGACGCAATGCTTGAAACTCGCGTAGCTATCTCCCTCCGCCGTAGCTCGCGCGTGGTCGGCTCTTCCAGGTGGGCACAGAGGTTCGCAAGAGGTTCGCAAGAAGGGGCTCGCGGCTGGGACTCCACAATATTGTGGGGGGGTTCGCTCGGTGAGTGGCCGGCCATCACCCTGCACTTCGCCATGTGCCACTCCACGCAAGCTACGAGCAGCACTACTATGCGATTCCTAAGATCGCTAGCCATCGTCCTCGTGGCCTTGGCTGCTGTTGCCAATCCTACTGTGGTGAGTTGAGTTCATACCGTGGCGATATCGTGTTTGCATTACTGGAAGAACACAGCAGCGTGCATGTTTCCTCCGTCGGCCTCAACAGCAGTCGAACAACATGAACCGTATGAGCTTATGTTCGCACACTCGGACACCATTAACATGACCCGCCTAGCCTAACCACTAGCGCCGCTGCTACGGCACACAGGTCAGAGAAAAACACCGCAATGCGTTTTTTCCTGTGTCCGATTTACATACATCAGCGATGTACAAAATACGGTTGCGTTTTTTTTTGCCGCGGGCCCCGGTTCCCCCCGGCTCACCCATCCCTTGAATGGTCTCTGTTGCAAGATGCTATCAGCCTGGTGCTGTTGAGCCCATCGCAGATGAAATGTGGAATGCTATGTCCGTCCGCGAGCAGATACCTTGCATTCGTACGTCGTTCACAGAGTGGTGCAAGAGAACGTATCGACACGATTGCCGTAAATGACACAAGATAACACACCCCCTGAACCGATTTTCAAATCTCGAGTACTCAACAGAGGGAGTCGCCGCGCCGAAAACGATGGCGTTGAAGCTGTCTCGTCGAGAGCTTTCCGAAAAATTACTTTTTCATATATCCACGAAATCGAGCTTTGAAAATTGGTCCAGGGTATGTGTTATCTTGTGTCATACTCTACTCAGTACGGTAGCAAGATTTTGTCTCTACCGTCTGGTGCCTGTGGTCGTTTGTCCGACAGCAACAGAGTAGATACAGCTGTAAGCGAACACACATGTATGTACAACTCCTTGCCTGGTAGCGCGGTGCATCGCGAATGTTACCGCGCACCAGAGAACCACATCGGCTAGCATCCTGTCTGATGCAGTGCTGCAAGCAGCCTCCCGGTCCAACTCCACTGACGCGAACTTGACCTTATGACGACCTCACCCGACAGGAACCGATGCACTTCACTTGGTTGGCGTTTTCGGAAACCAATGGACGGCGGTGTTCTGGTTTAACAAATATCGGAGTTCGTTTTCCGTATGCAGCGCGCGTTGCAGTGAAAGAGCCTTTCGGTAGCCGTTGTAAGACCTGTGCGGGTATCGCTACTGTCGAATCCCGTCTTGCTGTGTAGTCACACCCTGCACCACTGCACGTGCATGGCATGGCATTCCCCACCGCATGGTTGGGCGAGCCACATGTAAGCGCAGGGCTACGAAGACTCATTTCGAGCACGGTTATTGCCCACCCGGAACGGATGCTCAAATACCCCGCCGCCCATCCCCCGTTGTGCGTGGTTTTCTCAGACTGTCGCACAAGACCTGCCAACGTATGCAAACTTTGTTGTAGCTGGGGCAAGCGGCATGTCTGCCTGGGTATTCATCCACCCTGCCGACTTGATCAAGACTCGGATGCAGCTGCTGGGGGACAGCAAGAAGGGTGCCACTGCTGTCTCCGTCGGGAAGGACCTGGTAAGTTGCGTTCCTCGCAAAAGCGTGTCGACATGACTCGTGCATATATCGTGTGATGATCGTGGCTGGCTGCACTTGTTGGAAGGCTGTGGGAGGTCCGGTGGACACAAGTCCAAGACGGTTTGTCGATGTGAAGAAAGCGTGGTATGTCCTTGTTTCTGGGCTGTGAGGGTGTGGCTGCTCTGTGTGCAGGGTCATGTACCGTCCGCTTTTACTGGTCTCGACCCTTTCCATCACTGGCACTGAGCCCTACCCAAGCCGGTGGTGTATGTTGTCGGGATCGGACGCTTTTGCGTACCCACCTGAGGTAATCCCAAACTCAACCGCCGTACCCTGCCTGTCTACGTCTAACCTTTCGATAGGTGAAGAAAGGTAATCCCAACCCCAACCGTACCCTGCCTGTCTACGTCGAACCTTTCGATAGGTGAAAAACGAGGGCGTGACTGCTCTCTACGCGGGGCTATCGGCTGCGTTGGCCAGGCAGGCGTCGTACACCACTCTTCGCCTAGGGCTCTACGATCTACTCAGGAGGCTCGTCCTCGACAGCAGTGAGACAGACGCGTTTGGCTGTAGAGTTTTTTCCAAAACATGTCGTTGTAGCTGGTCTTGCAGCCTACGTGTAGTCTTCGTTATTTTTTTTTGCCATCTCTTTCTCTCCAGTCGGCATCACTCGTCCCCTCTCCCTCGACCGCTGTTTCGTGCTACCACCTGTCGGGTGCCGTTCTGACCAGGGACAACCGACATGAACGGCGTGCAGCTGTTGCTTTTGCGTATTCTTATCGGCGCCGTCTCGGGAGGCATGGCATCCTTTTGCTCCTGTCCGATAGAGGTCTGCCTTGTCAGGATGCAGGTGATGATGGCGCGTTTTCAGTTCTCGGTCATGCGGACTTGAAGGACTTTCCACCCACTTTGACTAATCCCCACTAGTTGTTTCATGCTGTGTCAACATGTGCGAACTGCATTAGGTCCATTCAGGTATGTCCTGCACTGTTCTGAATAGTACTACTGTACCGCATACATATCCTGCTAAGAACACCCTCATCGGCCGCCCCGTACATCTAACCCCGCCCTCACAGGCAGACGGACGTCATATTGTTTTGCTTCGATTAGAGAGAGGTGACGGTTTCCTTTCGGCGTAGACACGAACGCTGTTAACAAAACCGGACACAATGCCATCGTATTGTTGTGGTGATCTGCTCGAGCAATGTTTTCTTGAACTGTCGGTGGGCGGGTGGCAGGCGGACGGCAAACTCCCCAAAGATCAGCAGCGGGGTTACCGCGGCGTGTTTCACGCCCTGTACAGGATAGCCAGGGACGAGGGAGCCCTGGCGTACTGGCGGGGTGGCGGCACCACTGGTGAGGTCATGAAACCGTTTCGCTTGTTGTCGTGCTTGGCGTTGATTGCGGGTGGTGGTCCTTTTGCTGGCTATTGGTGATATGCCAGAGTTTGTGCTATGATGGCATGGTACAGTACTGCGGTAGAAATGGGTCCAGCAGCCCACCTGTTTGAGCATGACTGTCATTGAAGGGCGAGCCCATTCCCCATGGCTCCTTTCACTGCGGTCTCTGTCGCAGCCAAGTGAAAAGGGGATTGGGTTGGGGCGGTAGAAGAAAATTGCACCGGAGGGTGGAATAATACGAACGAGTGCCGTTCAAAGACTTCGCGTGTGCGTACCGAGATCTTACATGAGGAAAATAAGTACATGTTGACGACGTTGAAAAGGTTTTTCATTTTTCCGCCGGCGTCAGTATGAGCTGGTCTTGGCTAACCGCCGACCGTACTCAATTAAATCTTGCCATGCTCTGGAACGTTGACACAAACTGTCGTTAATTGGTGATTTCCTTAAATAGAGCAGCACTCTGGAGTTAAACTGCCCCTTCTGTTCCGGTACCAAGCGTGATGACCTTGTTGGAATCGCGGCTCACACATCCATCTCCTCGAACGACCACGTTCTCCCATCCTTATCCCTTCCCTTCCCTTCCCAGTTTTGCGTGCGATGGTGGTTTCGGTGTCGCAGATCGCGACGTACGACCAGGCGAAGGCATCGCTAGCCCCGTATGTCCAGGGCTTCCAACAGCATCTTGTGGCGGGCGTGATCTCAGCCCTCACCTTCACCACCATCTCCATGCCGTTCGACACCGTCAAGACACGTGTCCAGCAGGTACAGTACAGCGATGTAGCACTTCCGGCCATTTTGTCGTAAGGGCAGAATCTCTGTTGCCGGGTCTCCTGCTGCTGCTGCTGCTGCTGCTGCTACCACAGCTGGTGGATGTGACGGTGCTGTTGCCGTCGCTTCTTCTTGGAGGACAAGCGTGTGTAGTTTAGTTTAGTTTGCGCCGACATGATCGCCGTTCGCGGTTTCAAGAGAGGTTTGCGTGAGGCCGACCCTTGCGTCCCTTGTCATCGCTTCCACAACGACACTGCTTGCCAGGAAAAGGCCGGCAAGAAACCGCGGTACACGGGCACCTTCAATGCGCTTGCCACCATCGCCAGGACGGAGAGTCTGGGGTCCCTGTGGACAGGATTCCCGCCCTACCTGCTGGCCAAGGGTACGCTTACGGTCATCCTCTTCCTCATCAAGGAGCAGTACACGGAGCTCGCCAAGTGGCTGTGCTCTGGGGGCTTGAAGACAATGTTCGCTGCAAAGTAGTTTATCGCCCATCTCGTTAGCTAAATAATTTTAGCCTCCGGGCGCTTGTCTGACTTTACCAGGAGGCACTGTTGAGTGGAAGGGTTGACTTGACTGCTGTCAGGTGGTGGGTGGGTGCATGGCCCGCTGCTCAAGATGCCGATTTGTGTGGAGGGTTTTTTGTGTCGTTGTATCAAATGGTGTCGTAGCACTTCGTTACCATACATGGGGTTGGAGTGCAAACTGCAATTGTTGTCATTTGCTTGGGTGAAAAATGTGCTACTATTTGGCTGTTGTTGTCCCTAGTGTGAACTCTGTGCAATGCTGTATTGTGCTGTAAACATGGCGCGTCTCTATGCATACCATACTCCAGTGTGCGTTTTGACGGAGAGCGAGGAGGAAAGATTCCTCTGTAGTGGTTGGAATTTATGTTTTGTAACTCTAGAAAGAGCTACTTTGGATGACGCCGAGACAGTTACGATACTAATGCTGTACAAGTAGACGGGATCTGATTGACATGGAGGAGGTGGCGTTGCAAATCTCCCAACAATCAGGCTCTAAATAGGCAAGATTTCGACTTGTGCTGTTGTCAACTTTGCGCTTGGTGTCCTGATGAAGGGGGTGAGGTATGGAAGGACATTTCCAATGGGTGTTCGGGCAGACGTATTGCAGGCATTGTTGTAGCACTGTACTTGAGTCCCGCCCGTGAGTAGACACAGCTAGCTGCAACGTAACGCCTGGACTATGGACCCGCTGAGTGTCGATTTCCTTGTCGATGCGGGTGATGAATTTTTTTTTCCATTTTGAAGAACGTTTGTGGCTGAATCGACTATTTCTGGGAGTTCAGGTGGGCCCGGCAAAGGTTTTTCCTTCCTGAAGTGAATGGCCCGAATGCCGCGTCATGGTGTGATGCCGTCGAAGGCCACGTCAGTCAATGATGCTAAGGGAAATCTTGACACGATTGTAGGCGATACGGTTCATGCAGCGATTGGTACAAGTTGCAAGTTGCAAGACGTTTTCGCTAATCACGTGCGATAACGCAGCATGCGTCGACGCACACGCTGCGAGAGGCCCAGGTGTGGTTCATGTTTGAACACATAATTTTGGAGGACGGCATTATGAAAGACGGCATGTAGTGTTCTCGTTGTGAAGGTTGGAGTCTTACAGGCGGGCCTTGCGGTTGTTGCCAATAAGATATTAATGGTGTTTTTTTTTGTTTTGGTGGTGATGATGTGGTTCCAATAAGACAGTCGTACAAGTAGGGTCTTTGGTCTCTCCTCCCCAGCTGCACGCTAGCATGGGGTAGAAGATGGCCGTAGATTTATTCGGCCCACCGAGGTACATGTAGAGCTAAAGGCTTTGTTGCAGGACTTCCTGTACTATGCTGGTGATTGTCATTTGGAACAGGTGTTTTCCTTTTGTGACGCCTGTGGATTTTCATTCTACTTTCTTCTTGGGCAACTACTGTATAACACTTTCGGTTGTACCATATGAACACGTATCGTAGTACGTTGAGAACAAACAGCATGCTCGTTGCGTTCACGCTATTAGTCTATAGTGTCAGTTGCGTCGACGTTTTGGCTCTTCAAGAGGTAATTCAAGAGGTGATTGTCTTGTAAAACCTTAGCAAGCACAAGTTGACCTACCTAACTAGACTAGACTGCGGAAGTGGGCCTCTCTCTGCTGCACGACCGCGGTGTCTGTCCCATAATGTGACTTGTTACATGTGTGTTTTCCTCAAGTGTTATTGATGTTGTTCAGTGGGGTCGCAGTCCTTTCTCCCCGCAATACGCACCACTCCTTCCCGAGCACAGCACACATTCCCCCAACGCATGTCATGATCCAGCGATCGATGCATATGTACAGCAGTAGACTACTTACATGATCGGCGCCGAAACAAAGCACAAGATTGCAGAGACAGGCGTTGAAATCTGAGTTTTGTGAGGAGCGGAAGATTAAATATCTGTTGGCCAATCAGAGAGCAGCAGCACGGAGTCAGCGTGAAGTGTCTGAAACCTGACCAGAAGAGTAGACTTGGGAGCACTTGTTGGTCTGCCCCAAGGAAGCACGAGGGAGGCTGCCGCAGCCAAGAGGTATTTCGGAGATCTATTTCTTTGGAGGAGATCTACTTGGCGCGGGCTGCTGGGGGCATTCACATATCGGTTGGAACGGGAGGTTTGAATCTTGGCGGCTCTCGGTTGCATCAAATTTGGGCCATGTCATCCGAGCACAAGTCGCCGGAGACGGAAGAGCGCCTAGTCGCCTTGGTGTCGTCCGCAGCGAAGGATCTACTGGCGGTCAGGTCACAAAAAATGGGGGGCGGGGGGGGGGTGGAGTACAAAAAGACGGATATCCAGGGGACACGGGATATGTAGGACGAACAATAGCACCAGCTGCGAGGCCCCCGCCAACCACCCTGCACCCAGCGAGGGAGCAGAGCAGTCTTCCTCTGGATTCAAGGCCACGACCACAGAGATACCATGAGGACGGCAGGTGGAATCAAGGCCGTGTTGGCCGTGGCAACACCGTTCCTCGCGTTGGCTACGGCCAACTCCGCGTCTGCTGGAGCTCGCGCCCCGGTATCCTCAATGTTGCACAACACTGCTGCTGCTGCCCACCCTCGCGTGGATGCTATGCATGCTGCTGCGCAGGAGGAACCGCTCATTTCTGCTGGTGCTGAGGTTGCAGCAGGCGGTGTAGGGGGGGCTGCCGTCGCGGTGACTGGTGGGCAGGCAGTTGAACAGGTGGGTATTGCAACCGTGGGATCGATTGCGCGCGTAGCTGTGATGTGCTCGTCGTGCTGGATCTCGCACAGCAGACAGCTCGGTACATTGACCGAACACACCCGTCCGTTCATGCCGGCAGTGAGCATTCGCAGATTCATCACCCATGGTGACAGCAATGGTTTGTTGGTGCACGCAATCCACCATCGGCCGACTTTCGCTAACGCGTTCTGTTGTTTGAGCGCGGCAACACTCAACGCTATTATTGCATGCTCGCGGTGGCGTGCTCCTTTCGCGATCCAGTGCACCCCTAATAGCGAGCGTTGATCGTATGCATGCTCCAGGCACATACGGGGGGAGCCCTTTCATACAGCATGTGGGCTATCTCGAAGGGGTACATATTATTTCTGTGTGTGTGTTTTTTTTTTTTTTCATAGAACAAATCCACCTCCATCTATAGAAATACGTCTTAGGTTAGCAATGAATCCATAGCGTGAGCGAAAGGCTACCTGTATGTCTACGGTTTCCCAGATAGCGTACAACGATAACTCCCCTGTGGGTAACAGGCTCAACAAGGCAGTTTGGTAGCCATCTTGTGTATCGATCTGTATGTTATGTTGGAAGTTGTAGACTGAAGGGGAACTCGGTTTGTCGGGTGTTCTACTAATGCACCCTCATGTGGTTGCGGAGCAAGCGCGTCTAGGGGTGTGTATATTTTCGTCAAGTTATTTTTGTGTGTGATGTATGGGGGCATGTGCGGCGCGGGAGAACATATTTACCGTGTTGTGTAATGGCATGTCGTTAAATGTGAGAAGGGTTTGTATATATGTTTGCTCATAGAGCAGTCTGTCTTCGTTCTCTCATCGGCAACTTGGGAACGGTAGACTATCTACCTCTCTCGAATTAATTCAGGTGGATTTGCGCGAGATGTTGATAGCCACCGTCACGAACAAAGGCAGCACGCATCTGGTCGTGTGGGTGCTTGGGGTGCCATGCATGCTGATGCTGGTGTTGCTGATGCTCGTATGCTACAGCACGAAAGATAGCGGGTGGTGTCATATTCCGTATCACGTCCACCATTTTGTTGGCCAACTGAGGCCCGCGCGAAAAATGTTTGATATTTTGTGTTCCGCTTTCGAGAGAGGAACAGACCGTGGGGAAAGAATGAAAGTTGAGCAACTTTTCCTTCTGCCTGTAGTGGAAATGGGTATCAAGTACTTGACATCATGTTGAAAGGCTTGAATCGCCTCAAAATGCTAATAAATGTTGTGTTGGAGGTGGTTCGCGCCACAGAAGTCAGGGCAGAAGTCAGGGAATGCTGCTGTAGGGAACTCGTTCCCTTTACCAGCACTACGGCACCCTCTTGCTCTCGTCGGAAAGGGGTACATGTTCGGACTGCTGTTGTATTATTCATTGCCGACCGCAGTAGGGCAGTACTGTATGGATCCCATAATCACATCCACCTTGGACCCAAATACAACTTGTCGACCACGACACCTCACCAGTACCCACATGTCACCTTCATCTCATCACACCGCATGTTGGTTAAGTGTCTCGCATGGAATGAAAATGCTTCATCAACGATGCTTGGTTGGAGCAGAGGTCGCGCACACACATGCTGTATCTACGAAGAAAACTTTGCCAGGAATGTTCGGGATGTAAGAATTGTCCATGCGATATACGTTCGACTCAGCCAGGCAGGGATGCTCGTCGCGGACCACAACTCTCGCTCTATTTCTCTTCACAATCTCCAGCGTAGGGTTCCATGTGTCTGACGTCCGCATCACTCACTTGATTTACGCTGGCGACGTACGCCTACAGCGAAGGGCTAGTGTGGGCGTGCTGGGCGTGCTGGGCGGAGCTCTGTGCCACCTGGTTCTGGGTACCACGTACTGCTGGGGGAACTTCGTGCCGTACGTTCCCGAAAAGTGAGAAAGAGACTAGTCATGCCTACGCGAGCGCAATAGTGCAGTTAGCCGACCAGCGTACGCGAGTGTATGCGTGTCGTGCATTTGTCGCATCGTCACAGCCTCCCCAGGACGGGCTCGAGTGTATCTCGAGCTTTTTTCCCATGGCACCCCGCCTTGTTGATCCCTGCATGCCCAGTGTTTCAGCCGTCGCTGAAGCATTTCCTGTTCCACGGTATCGCTCCCCCCCCCGCCTCTTGTTAACGGCGATTTTACTGCAGGCTCAAGTGCTTTGGCAGCGCCCCTGGCTGCTCCCACGCCTCCTACATCCTGCCCGCAACGTTTGTGTCGCAAACATTGGCTATGCCGCTCGGTCCCTACTTCCAGGAGAAGATCGGATGCCAGGTAGGAAGTAGTCCTGAAACCTCTCCCCTCCTTAGGTACGCGGAAGTCGAGCGTTTTCTCGTTGCTGACGGGTTAATGGTTAGAACGATGTCGGTCTTCAGCAGGCCGCAAAATTGCTATGGCGTGGGCTCCCCCAAAGCATGAGGGCCGTGGGCTTTTCCGATCTGGATGGCGTTGTTGCTGCAACTCCCCCGTTTATGGTAGTCGCAGTCCATTCTCGTCAGCAGCAGCGAGTTGGAAGCAGCTCGCACGAGCCAGATGGGATGTCTCCGTTGCGCGTTGTAGCCCTTGTTGTTTGCTGGTCTCCTCCTTCCTTTTTGGTGGTCATGAATCGCCAGATGAAAGACAGCACTGACACACAGACGCCTGTGTTGGGTTTCACTGCACCCGTACTTGTAATGTAGAGGATACACGGGCCCTCTCTCTGACACAGCCCCCATTGCATTGCCCCCGGTTTTGCTGTCTCGGTCCCCCTCCGGCCCCAACCCTACCCTTGACATTAGCCCGCTACTCGCCCAACTTACATCAAGCCCTACATGCGTGAAATCACCAGGCGACTACGGCGTTGGGCTGCGGGATCATGGCGCTGGGAGTATTCCTGTCATCATACGCACCAAACCTTGCCACGTTCATGTTCTGCTACTCGTTCATGTTTGGCTCCGGGATCGGTCTCGCCTACACCGCCCCCATGGTGAACGGTTGGAGGTGGTTCCCCAGCAGGAAGGGGATGGTGAGCGGCGCCGTTGTAGCCGGATTCGGGGCCGGCGGGTTCGTCTTTAACCAGGTAAGCGAGGCCCGCGTTCATGCTGTTGGCGTTGCTGTTGCGCTCCCGCCTGCATGATCGAGAGACTTGGGAGTCGTGCGGTAATTCCTTCCCTTGTCGTGTCGTGTCGTGTCGTTGTTCCTCAGGGTTGTGACGCGAACCGAAGCAGAGTCTCAGCCCTGGGTGCTTGATGGCCTCCAGCTCGACGGAAGGCGGATTTTGTCCGTTGGTTGCTCTCGATGCCAGTACGCTTCGCGTATCTTCACATTCAGAATGATTTCTTCGCAGTCATAAGGATACCGTGTTACATGCATGCAGTTTGTGAGCGGTCACGGTCGTGTACTGTACCGTGCCCCGAATGTCTCCTCGGGGGGTGTTTTTGTTTCATATGAATTCAAATTATTCATGTTTTTGTTTTGTATTCGTATGTACTTGGTGTTTGTGATGCGCTCGGCGTAGCTCGCGTCTGAGCTGCTGGACACCACATGAATACCAATCGTTTCGGTGCTAGTCTCGCCCTGGAGACTAGCACCGCAAACCATGGGTCCCGCGAGTGAATCTTACAACCTCGTTGGCGACCATACTCCACCCCATTGCCATGGACGTTGGCGTGAGAACTGTATTCGCCCGTTTGAAAACGTTGCCAACCTTACCTTAGGTGGGCACGGGTATCATCAACCCCAAGGGGCTCGACGCCGTCGGCGGAGTCTATCCCGACGAGGTCTACGCTAACTTCCCCGTCATGCTCCGAAAGCTGGCCCTCATCTACTTCCTCGTGGCCGCCTTGGGAGCTACTGTCATCAAGCCACCGCCCGTCGCAGCTGCTCCCACGGGCGGCAAGAACCACAGGGGCCGCGGGAAGGTGCAAGCGGCGGCGACGGGGACTAGCTTGAAGCAGGTGGTGAAGGACAAGAGGTTCTGGCTCATGTGGTTCATGGTGAGTCAGTGAGTGAATGAGTTGAGTGAGTTGAGTTTGTCGAGTGAGTTGAGTGAGTCGATTGAGTGTGCGAGAGAGCGAACCTCCAAGGGAGGCGTTTTGGGGTTTTGTGTGTGCCGTCCCGTGCGAGTTGGTTGGCGCAGCGCCAGGGGTGCCTTGTTTCGTGTTTTTCTTTTTTGCAGAAAGGAACCGCTTGTTCGTTCGGGTGTCGTGTTGTTGTGTATCTTATCTTGTCTTATCTTGTCTTATCTTGTCTTATCTTGTCTTATCTTGTCTTATCTTGTCTTATCTTGTCTTATCTTGCGTCACTCTCACGTTGCTGTTGTGCGATACAGTACATTACAGTACAGAGTATTCCGCGTGTTGTGTCGGGTAGGAGGGGGAACATGAGTTCCTTCTTCCCCCATCCTATGCGAGAGCTTGCCATTCCTCGCTGCCGGAACTCCACTCGGTCTACTACAGCACTGCAGCTGTCATTTGCAACAGTTTGTTTGCAAGTGTCATGGTTTGTCAAGATTCGAAATTCACTCTCAATCGAGCCTCCGCGCTCGAACGCACATAGCGACGACCCGTCCACTTCGAAGGGGCGGGTGTTCGTGTTTCACAGTTTCTCCAAAAGACCTCACGGTGACGAACACTATCGTAGGGTATCGAGCCGAAACGGCCGTGTTGGAACAATTGGTGTGTTGTGGATGAAGTCCGATCGATCTCTGTGATAACATTAACATTGGCCTAACACATGGCAGTGTCTACTGACCAACCCGCAGCAGCCGTCGCGTCCATTTCCATGCTCCCATGAGACACGTTTGACGTCAGGTCGTTGCACACGCTGTAATTCTTTTCGTCTTTCGGTCTATCATATAATATGCATGCGAGCATGTAAGGCGTTTTTGAACAGGAAGGGTTGCGGCTAGCGTTAAGTTCTGACGTTCAAGTATTCTCGACCCTAGGCAAGGCGGAAAGGGGGTAGACTGTTGGCACGAACGACTGTCGTAAAGACGGAAGTTCAGCAGTCTCTGTTTTTACCACTAGCCTTCTTAGTCGTTCGTTCAAGCTCGATGAAAGCTTTTTCCACAGCCTCGAGAATGTTGGTGGTCCTTGTGGGCTGTTGGGCACCGTGAGCGTTCCCTGTCGTGGGCATCCCTTAGCTCTGGCAACATGTCCCACGTCCCACGTCCCACCGAGAAAGGATGAATCTGTGCTACAGACAAGGTCAGGCCACCGCCGAGAAGTTTTATAGTTGTTCGCTTGAAGATGCTTGGCACTTCATTAGGGTTTTCGGTAAGCGGGTAGATTATCTTGCTGCTTGTGCACCGTTTTTCTTCCGTCCCTCCCGTTGCTGATGCTTGGCGCGCACCCGCGTTGTCCCTCTGCCTGCGCAGGCGCTCATGATTGGCACTAGCGGCATCAACGTCGCCAACTGCTACAAGCAGTACGGTGGGAGTGTCGACATCCTCAAGGTACAAGTACAGCAGTGGTTGGTTGCATGGTAGTGTTCCACTGTGGCGCAATGCACAGGGCACCGTGATGTCGTAATTGCGCACGATGCATGTGTAATTTTGCAATTCCACAAGTGCCCGAGTTCTTGAGGAAAATGACAGTTCGTTTGTCGCTTGTAAGGCATGGAAAGCTGCCTCAATTGACCCCTTTGTAGGCGCCTGATTTTGCGTGATTAATGGAAACCGTATCAAGATCTAATCTGACCGCTTCGTGCCAGACTAGAATTGCAATTACAATTCGACTTTTCCCCGATAACGAATAGAACCTTGACCCCCACCCCCCACCCCCCTCTCCCGCCGTCGTGTCCCTTATCCCTTGAACACACAATAGTCGGACCAATTCCAGTCCTTGGTGGGATCGGTGGCGGCGCTGTGCAACGCAGCAGGGCGACTGTTCTGGGGCAACTTGCTCGACGTTGTCAAGTTCAAGTCGTTGTTCGCCGCTCTCGCGGTGCTTCAGGTGGGTGTCATTGTTCTTGCTGTCCTTGCCTCCTGCCTCCTGCCTCCTGCCCCGTCCCCTGTTGGTGTTGATGTGCACTGCCATCAGATGGCAAATTCATAGCGTTGGGTACATGTGTAGTAGTGTTCTCCTTGTAACGGGCACTGGAGTTCGATATGATAATCGATCGTCAGGTTGCAGCATACGTCCTTTCCAAAACCACCCTTGGAAATTATCTGCTATGTTTTATAGTGTATGTCCCTTTCTTTTCCTGGCCAGTTTGACTTCGTTTTTGACTGTCATCACCCCTGTTAATGTCGACAGTGGCACATACCATGGTATCCCTCTCTCAATTATTCGGTGTACTCCTGGGAGGGGCCGCTTTACCGTTATCGGTGCTTGCTGTTGTATTCAACCCTCGGTCTGCTTTAGCGAGAGATCCGCTGCGGTGTACTGTGGTGTGCATAGCTTCAAGGGTTATTTATCCCTTCGGAAATCCTACCCCGCGGTTGCACCAATTTGTTACTTCTTGAAATGCACGCGTTTAACCGTTGCCCTCTATCGTCCCCGACGTGTACGTCTCGAATATCGCACGGTAACCAGGGCAGCGCAACGGCATTCTACACGGTGCTGTCCCAGTCTAAGGCGGGATACCTCGTGGGCACGGGCACCCTGCTCTTCTGTCTCGGGGGCAACTTCGCGATGTTCCCCGCTCTTTGCTCCAAGGTGAGACAGACAGACGCGACGATGAAATCAGTAAGTACAGTGCTCGGTGCATCCATAACCCGAAGATTTGTATGAATGTTCCATCTTTGGTGCACCGGTGCGCATGCCTTACCTATGGAAGCTGTGCCTTCCGATCCCCCCTTTGTCGTTGTGCGCAAAGCAAGACGTTCTTGCCTCTCCTATCTCTGTATCTACCTACATTATCTATCTTGGTTTCGACCACCCGACAACAACATATTGCACTGCCCTTTTATGCTTTCAACAAGATGTACATGTCTCGTAAAATTCGCCACCGCTGTCTCCCTCTTGTTGTGGACACATCACAGGTGTTCGGGGGAGCGATCGGGGCCAAGGTTTACGGCATCTTGTTTACGGCCTTCGCCGTGGCTAGTATTTCGGGTACCTTCCTCACCAAGGTGAAAAAATGATTGCTTTTCATTTTCTCTCTACTCGAAACTGTGGGGATCCTTGTGGTAGTCGCGCTTGTATCCGTTTTTTTCCCTTCTTGTCTTCACTTCAATCAGCGCTCACAGCACTTGCTTGTGCCCTTTACTCCAACCCGTGTTCACAAGGAAGAGTTCGTCTACCTGAGGGCCCCTACCTTCCCCTCCTGCGGTACTTCGCGTTCGATTTTTTTTGCGAGAAGAGTGCAGCACTCTCTTCCTTCTGTGTACACACGAAATATGTAGCACTTCCCACCCAGGCAAGCGAGAGAAAATTCCACTCTGCAAGAAAAGCTCGCTTACGCCGGGGTTCGAACCCCTGACCCTGACCAACAGGCGGGTTTCGAGGATACCAACTCGACTTCCGGGGCGACCGGCTTGAATGGCCCCTTTATTTTTGAACAGAGCGGTGCTCGTGAACCACCCATACCCACACCACACCAGCGCGCATCCAGCGTCCTTTTGTGGCTGTCCGTCCGCTCAAACCTTGCATGCAATCACACACGTTGTATTCTGCCCCACAGCACTCCAGGACTTGGCCTTTTCGGTGTGACCATTCCTGTTCAATGGTTGCATCCCGAGGGTCTTTTTCGCCGACTGTTTTGACTGCAAACACCTTCCTTCGTTGGTTCCTTTCGCTGCAGAGCCTCATGGCGATGGACTGGAGCTGGGAGCAGGTTTTCAAGCTTATGGCGTTCTTGTCCATGTGCTCCATCACCGCTCTCCCCTTCTTCAAGATGTAAACGCTCCGCAACAGGCGACACTATAAATAGACCTCGCCGCAGCCAGACCTTGCAACGGGTCCGATGTTTCGCGGATTTCGAACTGTTGGATTTCTTTGTTGTCAGGACTAGGAGGCGATGTTTGGTGGATCCTTTGCTGTCTGATTTGTGGTTTGGGTTAGGGTTACGAGGGCTAGCTGCCTTACTGGCAAGACATCGACTATTGACTGCTTATTACCATGACGATGGGAGGCCAGGAGTAAGGTGTGCTTGTTCTCCTGTTGTTATTTGTCCCACTGGCACGATTTGAAGAAGCGCGGTACGCCCTTTGGGTGGAATCCAACTAGTCTATGGGGTAGGGTAGCTGGTGCCAGGCATCGAGGTATCTTCTTTGCAAGGCTGTAGAGCCCTGTCGATTTACGCTTTTGGAATCGAGATTGGGTAGGAGGGAGGATGCCTCCCATGACTGGGCTTCGGCAGCCCTGCTTTCTCTCTCATCTCGTCTCTCTCCAGTGCCCATGGCAGATTCCGTGTCCTACGGCATTCGAAGAGCTCCGAGCAGTAGGGCGGGCTTGAATAGATTCAGACACTGCTTTTTAGAGTCTGGCCAATAGAATGTTGGGAGGGCTGATCGTTTTTGAAAGTATGAACATGAATCCCCTTTTGTTGCTGTTTTCCACACAATAAAACAAGGAAAGGCCTCCGGGTACAACAAGAGATCAATACAGTTTTCACGCCGTCTTGTTATCGGATTGTAGTTGTGACGCCATTGTTGATATGTGTCAGCAGACGAGTCTAGAGCATTTGGTAGGTAGATCGGGTGGCAGCAGGCCGGTGCTGGAGGGAGGGCGGGAGGCCCGAAGCGTTGCTTTGAAATGGTGTCAAATTCATTTTTTTGTCAACTCGCGGATATTGCACGAAAATGGATGTATCCCCGTTGGTTTGTGCAAGGTATATTCGTACTGCTTGGAGAATACCCTGCCGCTGTTCGTATGGGAACGCGATCGCTCGAGCTTCTCTTTCTTGGCTGAAGTCGTCTGTTGTGTACTACCAAATCTCAACAACGTATTGTATGTTTTCTGCTGCTGTGCTGGTTTGCAGTACGCGGTGCCCCGTGACCTGTGGTCTTGCAGGATCCATACGACGAACAGATTCACCAACTCAACACTGTGAAGGTGTGGTCGTGTCGAAAAAATTGTATCGCGTCGTCTCCCCTCTTGTCAGGTCGGCCCTCTACACTACATGGTTCGATGTATGATTACACCACTGATCGATGATGAAATGTATTTTTGGCACAGCAAGGAGACTACTCTCCCACACGTGGGAAGACGACAGGGCTGCTCATCCAACCATCCATCCATCTCTTCATTCATTCGGTTTTCGGAGGATTCATTTATTCATTTCCGATCAACCGCCCATCCCACCGGCACACTATTAGCAGTTATCACTGATTCTGAAAGCATGGTGCGCATCTATCTAGTGGCAAATCACTCGTCGAAGACCAACCTGTTATGCTGAACGCATCCATGTGCATATTGACCCGATTGGCCATATGCAATTGCCTGACGACTATTGATGTACTGTACGACCAGCGTGCACTTCTTCACCAAGAGATAACCGCCCCCTTTCTCTTTCTCATTCCGAACACGAGAACCGCGTCTGCGATCGAGTGCGCAACGTCGAAGATTCCATACAAGGAAGGCGTGGTTATTCGTCCCCGCCATAAGGAAGCTACTAAACAAATAGAGAGAAAAACATTTGTGGCACGCAGTTCGCTGATTGGCCAACGCCCCCTG